TAATATTTAAATAATAAAATTTTAATATCTTAATAATAAAAAACTTTCAACATTTTATTAATATTTTAATAGTTATATCAATATAACTAATTTATAAAAATTGCTGATAAAAAGAACCACATAATAAAAGACATTTGTTAACAAAAATAAATCATTTCAAATTAAAAAAACAAAGAAAGAAAACGAGAAAGATATGAATAAGAGTTACATATTTACATGATTATCCATCAAATTTAGTTTTTTTATCTTAATTTATAAAAAAATTATAAATAATAAAATTATATTTTTTTATTTTTTATTTTTCAAATTTCCCAATTAATAACTTTTTTATTTTTTCAATTAAGTACATTAATAAAAAAAATATACATTCCATGTGTTCTAATAATTTTCTTCGTCCAAGAGTCCCCACCGTTAATTCCGAAAATCAACATTCCATTAGCTCTTATTTTACAAGCCGTTCTTTGATTTCTCACTTTTGGGCCCAATAAAGTTGATCCAAATCTTGTCACTTGATTTCAATGTGACGTCTTTTGGGCTTGCTTACTAGGCCAATTTAAAGCGTGTCCATGTCTGCATTCTACAGTGTACATCAGGTTTGGGTTCCTTCTGATCACATAAACCCAATGTTTTATAGGAAATATAGATATGTGGGGCAGGAGAATTTATGGCACATGGACTTGTAATTAAATGGCCTTGGATTCAGGAAGTTTCCAATTCTTGATATTAGACATATGAATGTCAGGATTCAGGAATATGATGGAAATTTGTAGTTGGAAGCTCAAGTGCCTCGAGAGAGGCCCTTCAATTTTTTTGATGATCCCCATCTGCCAATACTGATATTCTAAGTGCAATCTTTCTTGTTTTGAGTTCCAGATTCTTTATTTTCCGCCATCTTTTGGGAAGCACATTTTGCTAACTTGCGTTTATGTTTTTACTGGTCATGAAATTTAGGAGAAGTCAACGTGCTTCATCAAGCCAGTACTTACTGAAAGAGCAATTGAAGACCCACATCCCTTTGATATTGTACTATCTCTATTCCTTAAGGCTTTCTATTTTAAGGCTTTTATGTTTTTACTGGTCACGAAATTTAGGAGAAGTCAATGCTCTTTGATATTGTACTATCTCTATTTCTTAAGGCTTTCTATTTTATACATATATATATATATATTTGACATTGACACTTTCTATAATATTACTTTGCTGCTGGAGCTGTGATGCTGCCTTATTTTTCCATGTGTAGGACTGCATCCCTTTCATTATGACACCAAACAGCTTATGTGGATGGCCCATAATCAATAGGGTAGGATGTTTAACCAACAACATAATTGGCTTTATAGAACATCAGCACAGGTTGTCTATAGCTGAGTGAGGCTCTTTTATCTTTTTTCCCTTTCACACTTCTCTTTCTCTCTTGAAAAATTTCTAATGTTGAACATCTTAGTTTAAAGCGGCTGTTGAGATTGTTTAGTTCAATCCTTCCCATTGAATCCTCATCTCTCTAGACTTTGCAATATATATATATATATATATATATATTTGTACAACAAGACCATAACTGGGTATAAAGAAAGAGGTTGTAAGTGTTAGGATTTGAAACTTTAGACTTGTTAGATGTCATCTATTAAAATGGTTGTATGAATCAATTGAGTTAAGTTTCAGTTCTTCAATAAGAATATTTTTCTCGTACTTGTCACTAGAACGGAAAATTGAAGAGGGATCAGCAGTTTCTGTACGCAAACAAGATCAACAAAGGTGATCGGCAGCTACAAATATATGTATAGGAGTCCTCCAATCTGTGTAAAGCTTACTTGTATTACCATTAAAAGTCACAGAATAACAAGAGAAACAAGAAATGACAACAGGAATGATAAATGAGAGTCTCTGGACAATATCCTGTGAACTTTGAACGGTACTTTCCAAAGATTTTGGATAATCGGTTAATAGTAATTGGGTGTGCCATGGATAACAACGAAACCAATGGATCATTATTTTGCTTGTGTACTGCTACACATTTTAAGCAGTAATTCACATAGCTATCATTGCAAGAAGGCAATGTCCAAATTGAAAATTGCAAAGCCTTTTTTATCTGTTTGTGGGTTGATCAGGACAGGTAACAAAGTCCAAGTTGGTAATTCATATTGTGCCAGGTGGCTATACATATACACCCCAATGATCCAGACTACTCATTGGGCAGCTTGTATTTTAAACATACTCAGCCACAGGCCTTGTCATTGTCAGTACCTCGCAACCAGTTACGTTTTCCTTATTATCTGTGCTTTTTTGTTTATCTTTCTTTGTGATCGTCACTGTCAAACCAGGGCTCCATACTCTTGTTTAGGCTTGAAAGCTCTGTTCCTCTAGACTGTTTCCGTGGGGAAACTACAAAGCTAGGGCGTATTGTTTCGCTCCTGCTGTCATATTCTTATTCCCCCGCTATCCGCCAAGGCTGGTTCACACATCAGGCAGAGAATGGTCCCTTTTTGTATTATTGGACTGTTTTTATGAGACCCCTAACTTGAACAATAAAACATGTTCTTATTCTCGGCCATCCCACGGGTAAAGCAATAATGTCGCTGTTAATGGGGGATGAAAGTTGCCCAAATGCCGCTTTACACACGTAGAAGGGAAAGTGAAAAGGAGATGTGGATTGCGACTGCCTAAAACACAAACTTCATTGTTTAATGTTTTAGGACCGCCGAGATGAGGACAGAAAATGGCCTCTATTACCATTAACTTATTCAAAAGCACATCCTTTCCTTTTATTTGTGGACCATCCATGTTCAACAACATTAGCCTTTAAAAACTACGCCACCTTGCCTGCCAACTAATCTTTCATACACTTGGCTTATAAATCCCCACGGCCAATTTATTTTGGCCTTTTTGATTTTAGCCTTTAGATCAAAGTTCCAATTTATATTTAGCATTTTTACTTGTTTATCAGGCTTAAATTATTTACGTTAATGAACTAAATTTAGTTGTTTACAAAGTTTTTGTTGCAAACTTTTTACAACTTTCATTAGTGAATTTATATGCATTTTGAAATCAAGTTTAAAAATGAGATTAATTTTCAAATTCCAATTTATATATAACTTCATGGAATAAATTTAAGAACCTCAAGCAATTCATAAGTTGTTTCAATCATTTTTAACCAATTCTTAATGCGTAACATGAAATTTATAAAATAAAAAAAAGAATTACATTATTAGAAATTAAAATTAAATTTTATTAAATATTATATTTTAATAATGATTATATTAATCAATAAATTTCTAAAAAAAAAAAAATTTACATTCTGTAAGACAAGATGGAAAGAAGAATTGAAAAGGAAAGCAAGCAATAAGGGAAAAGTGGAAAAGGGTTGGGATATGAATTTGGAATTAATCTTGAAACAACAATTGGAATAAGGATTTTTTATTTTCTAAATTAAAAAAAAAAAAAAAACTTGGCATTCGATATTAGATGGAAAGTTTTTTATTATTATAAAATACTAGTATTTATAATTGTTTTATTCTCATAAATATTTGTTAGAATGGAATTTGACGAATTAAAATTTAATAAAATAAAAAAATATATAAAAGAAGAATACTAATAATACTAGATAAAAAAAATGTATATACAAAAAGTAAAATACGAGTATCATTTATAAAAAATGTAAAAATTTTATTAAATATATAAAAAAACAAAGTTAAAAATATTAACATTAACATTTAACTTTTAAAGTTACTGGCACAGAATGGGAAGGAGGTGATTGAAGAGGAATTTCCAAAAACACCTATTTAGGTGTGTTTCCCATTTCAAATCTAAAAAAAATTTTCATTTTTGTTTTACTCAAACAAAGCATTTGTGTTTTGGATTTTTGAAAATTCCGTATTTCTATTCCAAATGAGAATAGGTTTGGATTTCACTAACACTGCGTTTTAAAAAAAGTTATCGTTGTAATTGCATCGTGGTATATATGTTTGGATAACAATTATCGGATAAAAACCAAATGGACAGATGTTAAAATAAAAATTTTCATGAGCGAAAAAGGATTTGATTAAAAATTTCATTCCCACACTCAATCTTTTTACTCAAAAATCTCTATTTTAGTTTTTTTTGGTTTAGAACTTTTTTTTTTTTCGCTCTTTTCCTGTTTTATCTTTTAAACTTTATTTTGAATAAATAATAATAATTATTTTGATATAAAATTATAATTATTTTCTAAACTATTATTAATTTAAAATTTTACTTGATAAATTATTATGTTTTTATTAATTTTTTATTATTTGTTAACAAATTATTATTTAACATAAATTTTAATAATTGTTAATTATTTATTATTTTCATAAGTATCAAATAATTAAAATTTTTTATTTTATATAATTTTTAATAATCATTTTATTTTTTTATCAAATTTTACTTTATTATCATATTACATTTACATCTATATATATTTCACTATTAATTTTAATTTTATCATTATAATATTTTATTTTGACATTACAATAATTAAATTTACTGTTTTAAATATCAACAAAATAAATTACATTATCCTTTTAAAAGAACTCTGAATAGCCTGATTGAAAATAAATAAAAATAAAAAAAATAAAAAATTATTTGTGAGAAGGAGAACCCATTTAACATCACTGCTTTTGTTACGTTTAGTAAAGTGTGTTGGAACAACCCAGGACAACAACCTTAACTTCTCCATCATATATTATATTATGCCCTCATGTGTAATTGGACCCCTTTTCTCTAAAATTACGATTTTATCCTCGCTTAAACATCGTCCGAACTACCTCATACGTAACCTTATCAAAACCCAACCCAAAAAAAACCCACCAACAAAATATAAAACCGAAAAAGGGGATTATGAAAACCAGATTATCTGGCGTTGAAAATCCCATTCCCATGGCCACGTTACGTAATAAATCAAAGTCAAAGCATTTTGCCTTGGCAAACACACATCAGTCAACACTTTTAATCTCAAACCTAGTCCAGTCCCGTTCCAGAATCTCACACTCGTCATTTCATTTCCGTCACATTCCTGTGGCTTTATCTTACCCTTGTTTAGAACTTGCCCGAACTGCCCGACTGCCCAACCTCCTTGCCCGCTCTGCCCTACCATGTACCCAAGTACACCTTTTCTTTAGCCGTCTCTTTCTGTCTCTCTCTCTCTCTTTCTTCGGTTTTTTTTTTGCCGTCTCTCTCTCTAAAAATCGAGCAACTTTTTTTCTCTCTCGATTTTCTCTCTTTAATTTTTTTTTTCTATAGATCGCAAGGCGGCTTGGGAAATTGAACGCGGTGCATGGATCTGAGATTGAAGTAGATCGGGTAAAGTGGAGAATCGCGATCGAAGGGAATTAGGATTTTGGTTTGAGATTGGGGGAATTAGGGTTTGGTTAATTGGAAGATTTTGGTAGATGGTGAAAGGTAGGGTTTTGGGTGGATCTAGGGTTTGGAATTGGTGAAAGAAGGGGGTGGAATTAAAGAGGGGAAAAGAAGATAGCAATAAGGAGGGGGATTGATGGTACTCGAAGGGGAAAATGCAAGGCTATGCATGGGCAGGGAGGAGGTGACGAGAGGAAAAAGGCACGGCACATGTGGACAGTCCCTAAACGTGCAACGGCGGTTCTGAGTGGTGATGGTGGTGCTTCTCCATCTTCTTCTTCTTCATCATCTACTGTTAATTTCTTTTCAAAGGTATACCTTTTTTGAACGATATTTTAACTTTGATTTGATTCGATTGAAAATTTCTTTTATTTTCTACGTTTTTCTTTTTTGTTTGCTTGTTTTGTTTGTCTTTTATGGGTTTTATCAGGTTATTTTGATGAGAGGGGATTTATCAGATTGATTTGGGGGAAAGGAAGAAGGGGGTTCGATTTTGCTTCTGAATTTTGAGATGGTGGCTTGATTGATGGGGGAAAGTGTGGAATTAGTACTGATTTTCTTGGATTTTGTTGGCTTGGTTTTGAAATTTGTGGATGACTTCTTGTCCTCGTTTGGTGTAAAATTTAGGGAATGGAATTTCTGTGGAATTTTTAAATGTTGGATTGATTGGTAGGAAGGCATTTAACTTTTCATGTTTTGGGTGGATTGTCTTGCTGAGGTGGTTGTGTAAGAACTTTTGGCTTGATTTTTGTGCGTCATGTACTGTTTCAGGTGTGTGGGGCAGTTTTACTACATTATAATTTGGGTAAGATGAGAAGCGTATGTTTCCTTGGGCCAATTTTCATTTGCCGTAAAATAAATCTTTTGTGTACAAAATTATGATACAAGAATGATTTCCTTTTCTTTTCATCTACTAGAAGCTCATCTACAGATGATAAGTTGCTTCTATTGACTTGTCTGAGATTTTTAATTGCGGACTTGGAGGAATGGTTGCTTAGCATGCCATGGGGTGTTTTTTCTTCATCCAAGCAGAGGGGAATTCCAGACAGAAAGTGTTTGGGAGATGATAGAGATATTTAGATTCCTGGTAGATCAATGTAACTGCACCTGAATTTTGGGAATTTGCCTACATTCAAGGAGTGATTAGAAGTAATCATCAGCATTGTTGTTGTTCAGATTATAGGAAAATTTTCCAATTTTTGCAACAGCTTGAAACGTCAAATTAGTTAATAAGGAAAAAATTTCTGGTTTTTTATTTCGGAGGCAGTGAAGTAATCACCAGGGTTATTGATTGTTCAAAATACTGGAAATCTTTCCTAGTTTGAACAGCTTGAATCATGAAGTGATATACTACATTAGGAAATAGTTTTTGTTTCATTGTTTTAGAGATAGAGAATAAGAAAATATTAAAATGTAAAGATCTATTACTCTTACTTGACGTAGTTACACTTTTATTAACTAGGAATCAGACAGGAAGAAAATGTTTTTTGTTACTTCTGGTGGGTTAAACTAGGCAGCAGGTTTTGCTTTCTTAAATACTACTAGTAACAAAATTGTTCTGAGTAAGTTTTTTCCAGAAATTTCAACTTGGAGGAGATGCTGGCTTCTTTGTATGTAGTTTGCAGGGTGTTATTGTACCAATAGATTGTCCAGGATGCATTAATGCAATACTTGCCTCTTAATTAATTATTTTTTTACTAAGTCTTAGGTTTTGTTCGTATAAGGCAAGTTATGTGAGTTTTTTGTAATGCATCCTGTTTTATTATAGGTAAAAAGTTAGTTGTGTTACATAAAGCAAGTATATAGGTCTTCCCATTTATTGACATGGTTTGACTTACATGTATCTGAGTGATAAGGTACACGATATTCGTTATGACTGGTATTTTCTCTGGTAAAATTATATGAAAAATAATTGGTCATATCATGTTTGTAGCATATATTATGTCAAAATATTAGACTAGAGAAATTATTAGCATTATCTTCGATGGAGCCATATATGATAATGGCGTCTCTTGAAACAGCACCTTAAACATGCCAAGGTTTTACGGAGCAGTTTGTGATATAAATACCATACTTTCAGTGTGAGAAATGTCAAGTTTTCCTTGATTGCGGTTGTATAAAGTTTTTTAAACTAGTATAGCAAGCTTTGAACATATTTGACTTGCTATAATTTGTTTTTCCTAATTATGAAGTCTGTTAACCTGGGAATAATTAATGTGTAATTTGCTCTTATATTTTGTTATAGTGGATTTATTACTTCCACTATGAAATTACAGTTTGAAATTTGTAAAACCTTGTTGACATCTGTTGTAAATTTACTGATGAGAAAAGTATTGTTTCAAGAATTTGTTCTGAATGACCAGTTATGCTCTAAATGTGTTATATGCATCTTTATCTGTACATATGCATGTCAAAAACCTTGTTGACATCTGTTGTAAATTTACTGATGAGAAAAGGTATTTGTTTCAAGAATTTGTTCTGAATGACCAGTCATGCTCTAAATGTGTTATATGCATCTTTATCTGTACATACGCATCTTAGAAGTCTTTCTGATCTAATAAAGCTGGATTACATTGAATCACAACAGATCTGAATGGTTGAATGATTTGCTAGTTGCTAGCTGAGGGTTGCTCTTTTACCTTGGTTCTATTTGCATCAAATTACCATTTCTACTTGAGTTAGGTTGCTTAGTCAATGATGAAACTAAGAGTTGTTGATGGTTTTTAGGAATAACTGATTAATGCCAGTCTGGGTTGTTGATCAAGCCTTTGTTTTCTTCATACAAGTTGCTTTATATTGTCACTGGTAAAATTCGCATACCTGGTTAGTTGTTCAATAGTTTACTGATATTACCTGTTTTGCTCCTAATAGGATGGACGCAAGATCAGTGTTGGTGACTGTGCTCTCTTCAAACCAGCCCAAGATTCTCCACCTTTCATTGGAATAATTCATTGTCTAACTGCTGGTAAAGAAAATAAATTAAAGTTGGGTGTGAATTGGCTTTATCGACCTGCCGAAGTAAAACTTGGCAAAGGCATCCTGTTGGAAGCTGCGCCAAACGAAATCTTTTATTCCTTTCACAAGGATGAGATTCCTGCTGCATCGTTACTCCATCCTTGTAAAGTTGCATTCCTTCCTAAAGACGTTGAACTTCCATCAGGGATTTGTTCATTTGTGTGCCGGCGAGTTTATGACGTTACAAACAAGTGTTTATGGTGGCTAACTGATCAAGATTATATTAATGTGAGTTCTAGGTGCTCTTGCAGATATCTAATTTGGTTTAAATTTGTTGAACTTTAGTAGTTGATACATTCTCCTTTTACAGGAACGACAAGAAGAAGTAGATCAGCTATTATATAAGAGACGTTTAGAAATGCATGCAACAGTGCAACCGGGTGGCCGTTCTCCAAAGCCAATGAATGGTCCGACATCAACATCACAGTTAAAACCTGGTTCAGATAGTGTACAGAACAGTGCTTCCTCATTTCCTTCTCAGGGTAAGGGAAAGAAAAGGGAGCGTGGGGATCAAGGCTCCGAGCCTGTTAAACGAGAACGTACTAGTAAAATGGATGATGGGGATTCTAGTCATGGTAGACCAGAAATTAATTTAAAGTCTGAGATTGCTAAAGTTACTGAAAAGGGGGGACTAGAAGATTCTGAAGGAGTTGAGAGGTTGGTTCAGCTTATGGTGCCTGAGAGAAATGAGAAGAAAATAGACTTGGTGAGCCGTTCAATGCTTGCTGGTGTTATAGCAGCTACAGACAAGTTTGACTGTCTTAGTCGTTTTGTTCAGCTCAGAGGGTTGCCTGTTTTTGATGAATGGCTCCAGGAAGTCCACAAAGGGAAGATTGGTGATGGTAGTGTCTCCAAGGATGATAGATCAGTAGACGATTTTCTTTTAACCTTACTAAAAGCACTTGATAAGCTACCTGTAAATCTTACAGCTCTACAGATGTGTAACATTGGTAAGTCTGTGAATCATTTGCGTAGTCACAAGAATATAGAAATACAGAAGAAAGCGAGGAGTTTAGTTGATACATGGAAAAAACGAGTTGAGGCTGAGATGGATGCTAAGACTGGTTCAAATCAGGCTGTTAGCTGGTCTGCAAGACCTCGTCTTTCTGAAGTTTCTCACAGTGGAAGCAAGCACTCTGGGTCATCTGAGGTTGCCATGAAGAGTTCAGTAACTCAACTTTCTGCCTCTAAAACTGGTTTGGTTAAGCTTGCTCAAGGAGAGACTGCAAACAAGTCTGCTTCTGCATCGCCGGGACCTATAAAGGCAGCAACATCACCTGCTTCAGCCAGTACAAACTTAAAAGATGGGCAGGCACGAAATGCTATTGTTAGTGGCACTTCTGACCCTCAAACAACCCCAAGGGATGAGAAAAGCAGCGGTTCTAGTCAGTCCCACAACAATAGTCAGTCTTGTTCTAGTGATCATGCAAAGACTGGGGGGGTTTCTGGAAAGGAGGATGCAAGAAGTTCTGCTGCTGGTTCAGGGACAGTGTCTAAGATCTCAGGCAGTTCTTCACGGCACCGGAAATCCATTAATGGTTTCCCAGGACCATCAGGGGTTCAAAGGGAAACTGGATCAAGCAAAAATTCTTCTTTGCACAGAAATCCTGCTTCAGAAAAAATATCACAGTCCGGTTTAACATGTGAAAAGGCCGTGGATGCTCCTATGGCTGAGGGTAATGGTCATAAGTTCATTGTTAAGATCCCAAATCAAGGTAGAAGTCCGGCACAAAGTGCCAGTGGAGGATCTCTTGAAGATCATTCTGTCATGAATAGCAGAGCTTCTTCTCCTGTGCTTTCAGAGAAGCATGAACAATTAGATTGTAACATGAAGAAGAGTGATACTTGCCGGGCAAATATTATCGCTGATGTGAATACTGAATCTTGGCAGAGCAATGACTTCAAAGATGTGCTGACTGGGTCTGATGAGGGAGATGGTTCACCCACAACTGTTCCAGATGAAGAAAACTGTAAGACTGGAGAAGATGCCAGGAAAACAACTGAAGTTACAAAAACGGCTTCCTCATCTTCTGGAAATGAACTTAAATCAGGGAAACTGCAGGAGGCTTCTTTCAGCTCCATTAACGCTTTAATTGAAAGTTGTGTCAAGTACTCTGAAGCAAATGCATGCGTACCAGTTGGGGATGATGCTGGAATGAATTTGCTTGCTAGTGTGGCTACTGGAGAGATTTCTAAGTCTAACGTGGCTTCACCGATTGATTCTCCGCAAAGAAACACCCCTGTTTTTGACCCCTCTTCCACAGGCAATGATACAAAACTAAAAACTTCTGCTGGGGATGACGTTGTTCGGGATCGAAATCAGTCTGTTGAGGGCACAGATGATGAGCATCTGAAGCAGGGTGTTGTTGCTGGTAATTCATGGGCTAACAATGCAGACAGCAAGACTGGTTCCTCTCAAGAAAAATCTGGAGGAGAGCTGAATGAGCATTTAACTTCATCAAGTATGGGTTTGCAACAGACTGCAGACCAATGTCTTGAAAATGGTAAATTAAAGGAAATTATAACAGCTGCTTTAGTCAATTTGCCCTCTGCAAGCACTGTGGAGAAGACTACTGATATTGAAGATTCGAAAGAGCAACTGGAGAAAAAGGCTGGTGATGTTGATGATGATGGCAGTTTGGATACTAAAGAAAAGGTGAGTACTTCTGTAGTAAATGAAGATAAGATCATTGATCCAGTTGTAAAAGTTGAGAAAGAGGTGGTTGAAGGATCTTCGTCTGTACCTTCAATGGAAGTTGATGCTGAGAACAAGAAGAATGTTGTCACTGAAGGTTTTGACAGAAGTTCACAGACTCATCAGAAGTCACCAGCTGTTATTGGGCATTCCTCCAAAGGAACAGATAAAGAAGCATTGCCATCTGCTTCTGCTAAAGATATGGTTTTGGAAAATGTTGATGAAGTGAAAGCTGAGAAGGATGTTGAGACTGATGCACGTAGTCATGCCAGTCATAATGAGAAGCAAAAACCTGAGTGGGAAAGTAATGCTTCTCTTATTGATATCTTAAAATTTGAAGTACATATTATTTTTTACTTTTTTTTGTTTTGCATTTTATAATTTTTCATCATTAAAACTGGTAAGTAAATTTTACTTGTTGTGGTTCAGCTGTCACTGCCCAGAAGAAAGGTGAGCACGTGGAGAGTTTAGAAGGTAGTGAAGGTCATGAACCGTTTGGTGGAGCGTCTCCTTGTAAGGCATCAACCACAGTAATGGAAACAGAACAACCTATGAGGCCAAGGGGAACTAAATTGACTGTTGTAGAAGCAGATGAGGCAGAAGAATGTACATCAACCACTACAGATGCTCCCGCTGCAGGTGGTGCAGATACAGATGCGAAAGTAGAATTTGACTTGAATGAAGGCTTTAATGTGGATGAGGGGAAATTCGGGGAACCTAATAAATTGACGGCTCCAGGATGTTCAGCTCCTGTCCAATTAATTAGCCCATTGCCTTTCACTGTTTCTTCTGTGTCTAGCAGCCTTCCTGCTTCAATTACTGTTGCTGCTGCTGCAAAAGGGCCCTTTGTTCCCCCAGATGACCTACTGAGGACTAAAGGGGTGCTTGGCTGGAAGGGATCAGCAGCCACAAGTGCGTTTCGTCCAGCTGAACCCAGAAAGATTCTGGATATGCCTCTTGTTACAAGTAACGCATCCATTCCTGATGCTACTACCAGGAAACAAAGTCGTCCTCCATTGGATATTGATTTGAATGTACCTGATGAGAGAGTCCTTGAGGATCTAGCTTCCCAAAATTCTGCTCAGGGTACAGTCTCTGCACCAGATCTTACAAATAAGCGTGATTTAACATGTGGGTTGGTGGGTTCTGCAACCATTCGTTCTTCTGGGGGACTTGATCTTGATTTGAATAGAGTTGATGAGCCTGCCGATTTGGGTAGTTACACAACTGGAAATAGTCGTAGACTGGATGTCCCTATGCAGCCTATAAAATCATCATCAGTTGGTATTCTTAATGGTGAGGCAAGTGTCCACAGGGACTTTGATTTGAACAATGGACCTGCTGTTGATGAGGTGAGTGCTGAACCATCACTATTTAGCCAGCATAATAAAAGCAGCAATGTGCCATCTCAACCACTGGTTTCCAGCCTGCGGATAAACAATACTGAGATGGCAAATTTCTCATCATGGTTTCCTACAGGGAATACATACTCAGCTGTCACTATTCCATCAATCTTGCCTGATAGAGAACAGCCTTTTCCAATTGTTGCAACTGGTGGACCACAGAGGGTGTTGGCTCCCCCTACTGGCGCCGCCCCTTTTAATCCTGATGTGTATAGGGGACCTGTATTGTCATCTTCACCAGCAATGCCCTTCCCATCGACTCCTTTCCAATATCCCATGTTCCCCTTTGGAACAACATTTCCTCTTCCTTCGACCAGCTTTTCTGGTGGTTCAACAACTTATGTCGATTCATCTCCTGGTGGGAGGCTTTGTTACCCCCCAGTCCATTCTCAATTGTTAGGACCTGCTGCTGCTGTTCCTTCCCATTACTCAAGGCCCTATGTTATTAGCCTTCCAGACAGTAGTAATAATAGTGGTGCTGAGAGTGGTAGGAAATGGGGAAGGCAAGGTCTAGACTTAAATTCCGGGCCTGGAGTTCCAGACTTTGAAGGAAGAGATGAGACAGCACCTCTTGCATCTAGGCAACTATCTGTTTCCAGTTCACAGGCCCTGGCAGAGGGGCAAGCTAGAATGTATCAGGTGCCAGGTGGTGTTTTGAAAAGGAAGGAACCTGAGGGAGGATGGGATTACAAGCAATCTTCATGGCAGTAGGAATCCTCCAATGTCACAATCTGGTGACCCATGAAAGCTTGTAAGCCATTTATGTTTATTCTCAGCTTCTTTTGGCGAGGCCTTTATTTTTTCTTCCCTTTATTTTGCGACTTCCATGCCCTCTCTTGATAGTGGCAAGGGAGAAAGAAACAATATTAGTAGATTTATGGATTTATGGATTTCCTTTGTGACCAATTTTATTTTATTTTTTTCATTCATTTTCAGTTCTTCAAGGATAGGCATTGGCTAACCCCCCCAGAGGTCATCTAACCTTGTGCTGTTAGAGGATGGGTGGTAAGTGAGCCATTTGATGTTGTTCAGTCTCCGACCCCCACCTTTTTCGCTGTATCAACTGCATCCTAAAAGAATCTGTTTGGGGTTTTCAAGCCATTTGTTTCTTGAATTTGTTCTGGATGCAGATCAGTTTCCCTTTGTAGATATTATAACGGTTGGAAATCTTGGGCTATGTTGCCCAGATATTAGAAATTGGTGCCCATACTGTTTGTTAGTGCATATTGTTCTTGCCTTCTTTCATTTGCCCTTTTTAATTTTTTTTTCCTAATTAAAGTGGTCACTGAATTTTGATGCTCAAGCCTTTTATGATCTGGCATGACTTAGTTGCTCTGGTTGATGTTGTATTCTGATCTTATTTAATTTATCAAACTAATTGTAGTTCATCTGCTACAGTTTTAATTCATGCCAACTTTGCTATTCAATGTTAAAAGGGTATTGGCACTGAGACAGACTGCTTTGAAGTATGAGGTTGCACTTTCACCTGACGACACCAGTAGCAACTATGTCATTCATCTTTCCAAGTGTATTTGCTCCTGCTTCCGCTTCATATTATGTGTTGATTGGAGTAGGGAGGGAGGTAGGTAGGTGGGTAGGTCAAACAGACTTAAGAAGCCAAGCCTTGTTTATATTCTGGATTCTGGAACGCTTTGTGGTCAGCAACTGGCATATATTCACATGAATTTTCCATTTGCCTATATTTTATTTTTATATAATAATTTTATTACCACAAGTATTAATAGGAACCAATAATGTCATGTAATCTGTGTCAGAAAACCTGCTGTCTTGTGTTAAACTCGGATATTTTTGAGTTATGAAGGCAGGTGTTTTTATTCATTAAAAAACAGAATGGTACAAAGACGATTGAGTGTGCAGCTCTCGGTTGTGTTAAGATATTTCCCAAGTGCTTGTAGCGTGCCTGTGTTTGCAACAGCTTTTAAATAAGGAGATTTTCATGTTTCTGTTAAAATGCAAATAAAATGATTTAATTGTTGGTGGTATTTCTTCTTCAGTACTGACTAACACATCTTAAAAAACAAACTGGAGGTCTCAGCCTTCCAATTCAACTCAACTGACGGAAGCGACTCCATTTACCTAGCGTTGTGCAGCAGCCCGTGCCCCATCTGTTTCTGTTACTTAAAAGAGGTTGGCAGCAACAAAACTTATCGAGCAGAGCAGGGCAGAACCATGTCAAATGATCGATGAAAAGTTAAGGCTCCATTTTTATTTAATACATGTATTAATTTTCTCAATTTTTTCTTTTAATTCAACAGTATTTTTTAGGAATGAATGTTATATTTAAATTGTACACACAAAAAAAAGACGATAGTACCATTTTATGCATGCTTTATATGTCAACATTAAAATGGCCACGGTGCGTATAGATATAGTTTTCTTCTGACTCCTGACTGACACCATCAACTCAATAAAATGAAAATGTTCATCATCTAATGGTGGGGTTTGTTTTTTTTTTTTTTTTTTTTTTACAAAAAAGTTTGAGGGGAGGTTATTCATTTCAGGATCAGAGCATATCACAAGCTTTGATGAGAACTTACATTGAATTTACAGGTCATCACCAGAAGTAACAAAAGAAAATTAAGAAAATAGAACATCTACTTAAGAAAGCTGTAGATATTTTACTGTAACACAAAACTCAAACCAGATATTTTTTTTTCCATGCACAGTAATACCTAAAAGATGTATCTACTTGTGACAAAGCCACAGAGCTTTAACTCTTTACAAGAAATCAAGATAGTGATTTAGCAGTGGAATGTATTCTTTTAACACTAATCAGACTGTAAGATCAAATTCAGACAAAACCACAAAGTGACTTTCAGGGAGAACTATGCTGTATAATCTATTAAAACCGCTGCATGAAAAGCAAACTCAATTGATCATGATGGCTCCAAGAATCTCTAGGTGACATGTTGGCATCATCGTTCCAGAAGCATTTGATTCGAAGATAATCTATTTCATTTAAGATTGCACAAGGTTCCTTCCGCAGAAGATGTTTCTGCAATTTGAATGAAAACCAAATCATGCCTGGGACCTATGGGCTATGGATTAAAGAATGACATTTTGGACAGTAAATTCTATGAAGTAATAATAATTTTTTCATAAAAATCATGGAAATCGAAATAAAATATGTCGAACAAAAGCAAAAATGCAATGCAACTACTTAAGCTGCACAATCAAGTACCTTAAACTACTAGCAAGTTAGAAAATTTTCTTACTGTATGATTTGACCGGATAGTAGAAATGGCTCCAACAGCTATATCAGATGAGAGAATACAGAAGCACAAATATGTATTTAGCATGCAGAACAAGAGAAAAAAAAACCAATTTACAAGAGAATTCTTAGTACTGAATGTTGATGATGTGCAGATCAAAGGAGCTGTGTCATATCTAAGCTACTCAGGATTGAGCCTTGCTAATAAGTGCCGTAAAATTGAAATGCACAGGAAATCATTACATTCAGTGTCACATTTAAAAATCAGAACCTTAACAATTTCCCTTGGGCACTTGTATGTTTGCTTTTAAAATTTTTCAACACAAAATAGAATGTCAGGCCAGAAAATTTCGCAAAACGGACAATCAGAAGATAACAAGCACCCATAAATTTAAGAAAAGAAAATACTGACATTAGGCATCCTCGACTTGACTTTTTCTTCTTCTCCTTCTGTTTCTGGGGAGGCTTGATGACAACCTTGATTGCAGCATCAAAAACTGCTTTTACATTCTGCAAAAGTGAGAAAATGATAACGGGAATAATTCCATGCTATTCAAGCCTCCCACAGAAATACAGACATGTATGAAATTAAGGATGTCCTGTGTTTTGAGATAACCAGGGAACAAAACTGCAGTCTTATAAAGATAATGTATAACCAATCCATGAATTTATTTTTGGACCAAAATAAGACCAAGATTTGAGCCTGAAATACAATGGCTCCAAGAAGTTTGAAATGGGATCTTTATTATTAATGACATGATCCATAGCACATAGAGACTGACTTAACAAATTACAAGTTACCAAGTTCAAAGAAAGAGTTCAAGTCTATAAACCAATCCAACCAAGAACTCCTCTGTGTTGTCCGCAAGAGACCTAAGTCTCCCAATGCCATCAATACAGAGTAGATGCTAAGTTTTTTCATACCTGCTGAGTTTTTGAGCTGCACTCAATGTAATAAGCAGCACCAATCTGTTTGCGAAGTTCCTCGCCCTGTTTTAATGCAATGATTAGGGTTTAAAACCTGAATAACACCTACTACATAGTCCACCACCAGTGAGTAGAAATCATACCTGTGCAGTGCTAACAGGGAGCAAGCCAGGATGATCAGCCAGATAATGCTTATCCTCACGAAGATCTATTCGTCCATTTTAAGAGACATTACCATGTTGTCCAGAAAATTATAACATATAAATTGCAATTTTACTGAAAGTAATAAATTAACTTTGAAAGGCACCTTTAGAAGGAGATGGGTTATTCAGATCCCACTTCAAAAGGGTAACTTAAAAGTTTGACGGTTCATTCAAATGAGTGCAGTAGTAATCCCTTTTTTAGAAGATGCAAGAGTACTCCATTTATATTTCTATATGAAAGCAGTAAACTGTCCATTTGGTCCATTAACTTGAGAAGTGGTGTGTCCAGCAGAATTTAAAATATGCAACAACTAAATACAGCGAAAAAGTTCATCAGGCATATGGAAATGTACTCTGAACACATCTTTTTCCAAGAATGAAAAAGAATGCACAAAAGAGGATGCTAAGTTTGAAACTGGAAGCTTCACACTAATCTAAACTCGATATTGGAGTAATTGCATTCTTCTATAGATGCAATAGACAACCATTCTCTAGGCTCTAAGGCCATGTTTGGTACATAGGATAATGGATATGATAGGATAATAATCATCCTCTATTATGTTTGGTTGGTTTGTATCTAAAGAAAGGGATAGGATTGCAAGGGGGATTAATCATTGAGGATGATTCAATCCTTACAAAGTGGAGAGGATTACTTTTAATCCATGGGATTGAACTTACATATCCTATTATACCCTTAAAAACTACATCAATAATTTAAACTGTATAAACTTTAAGGAAAGATAATTTTCACCAATAAATAAAATTATCCTATCATAATCCTTGCACACATCAAACATAAGATAAGATGACATTATTTAATCTAATCCTATTCATAATATCATCTTATCTTATCCTATCATAATCTTGTGCACCAAATACTTCCTAAGTGCTTTAAATTTTGCATTAGTCTTCTGACCGGCTTGACCATTATTAGATCAAAACAAGATGAAACTATCAACTTTAGAAGCTGTCTTTAAAATGCTAATTCTAGGATCAATCATTCACAATGACCACACAATTTTCATACAACCAAGCTTAAGCTCAGACCTAAGGTAATTAGAAAATAGCATCAGGTCCCCACCTACCGAAGTTTTATAAACAAATCCTTTCAGCTTAACAGATTCAAGGGCATATTTTCTGTTTATCTTATGTTCTCAAGTCTGCTGCAGTCTATATCCTATTTCCTTTGATCTTTACAGGACATGTAACTTGGATTAAAAAGTAAATTTCTAGTATATCAAGTAGATTTTGAACAAGATTTTCCGATTATACACATTAATCAGTGTCAATTCCAGTACCTCTTAATTAAATTTATTTCCTACTCTGTCTCCTTTGCAGTCACAACCTAGCTAAAATCTCCATTTCAAACACGCACAGATTTGGCAAATAGAAATTGTGTTTAAAACAATATTCTATTACTATATCCCTTGTCAGAACTCAAATTCCTTAAAGCATTTGCCAAAAGGGGAAAGAATGAATATTACAGCAGCTTTAAAGTACGCATATCATTTAACTACTTTTTAAACTCTAAGTAATGAACAGTTCAAAAATTTTGGGAGCGAATGTCTGATATCTGGTGATGCTACTCTACTACAATATAAGGAACTAAATCGACATTGGATTTAACTGAAGAGGCATTCATTTTAGAGAAATACTAAAGAAATGGTTGCCCATTTACCCAATTTGGTGCCAACCAGAACCACAGGGACGCCAGGGGCAAAATGTTGAAGTTCAGGGATCCACTGTCAAAGAAAGCAATGTATTAGAGAATTAAAGAAGATTAACATAACACATCACAATTGTTCAAAGAAATTAAAGATCCAGGATAAATTCACCTTTTTTAGAACATTTTCGTAGCTTGCTCGACTAACTAATGAGAAAGCTAAGACAAAGATATCTGCCCCTCTGTAACTCAAAGGCCTTAATCTATTGTAATCCTCTTGTCCTACAAAAAGTCATCAAAACTTCACAACAAGTTTAAGAATTAAGACAGTATAGTTACCAAATTTGACTTAAAAAAAGAAAGTGCCATAATGAATGTAAAATGAAGCTTTTTAAGCACGGTTTTGAAGAAGTAGAGGATAAAACATCAAATAGAATTGATACCAGCCGTGTCCCAAAGACCTAAGTTCACAGTTGTGCCTTCAACTACAACGTTTGCACTGAAGTTATCAAAAACAGTTGGTATGTAATCCTGATACAAAAAACAACAAAATCCCAGATTCAAAAGAACCGAAAAGGCCCCATGGAATTATAGAACAAGAAAAACCCATAACATTTACCAAATTGTAAGAACCCAAAAGGACAAACTTTTCATGATCATGAACAAGCCAAAAACATGTTCAGAAACATTAAGTTAGAGATTTTGCATGAAACAAGAAGAAAAGCCATGAAAAAAAGAAAATTCATTTGCAAAAAAAAAAAAAAAAAAAACCTTAACAGACTACAAAAATGAACATCAAAACTGAGATACCCAGGCCAGAGAGAAAAAAGAACATACAGTGGGGAACTTGTTACTTGTATAGCAAATAAGCATGCAAGTCTTGCCAACAGCTCCATCTCCAACTGTTACACACTTGATAAACCTTGAAGCACTTGAAGCCATTGAAACACACACACAAAAAAGAAAAAAGCAAATAAAGAAGAAAAAAGACAAATGGGTAGTTTTGTTGGGTGGATCAATTTATGGTCTTTTTCTTTGTTTTTTTTTAACTTTGTGTTCAGAGTCAAAGAGAGAGTGAGAGAGAAAACTCGCGGTGGATCACATGCTTCTCACTCAGTTCATTTCTTCTGTAACAATTCTATAACTACTCTACTTCTTTTATTATTACTATTATTATTATTATTATTATTATTGTGAAAATGTGTTTCTTTATCTCTCCATTTTTTTTTTTAAATTTGCAAGATAATGACTTCCAAGAGTTTTTTAAGGTCATAAAAAAGCCTAGACTTTTCAACGTAGTGTTTTTTTTTTTTTTGGTCAATTTCTTTTCTAATGTAACTCCACTGATTGATAATATTTCATAAAAAACAAAAACACATTTAGCCTGACAATGGTTCCAGTAAAAAAAAATTGAATTACTCAATAAGTATCCCACGTCAATAACAAAAAAACCAAAAATATTTTTGTATTATATAAAAAATTAATAAAAAGATAATAAAAAAATTATAAATTTTAAAATTTAAAATTATTAAATATCATTACAAATATGATTGCATTAATTAATTAAATTAAATTTTAAATATAAATAATTTATTTTTTTATTTTCTTAAATTTATCAATGTACTTTTTTATTTAATATAAATAAATTTATTTAAATTAAATCTAATATATTTATTTATTTATTTATTTTCATAACCCTCCAATAAATTTGATCCCTTACAAGCATTTATCAATGAAATTTTAGTATACCTACACATTACTACGACATTGAATGGGTCCCATTGAAGTGACACCTACGACATTGAATGGGTCCCATTGAAGTGATACCTACTACATTAAATAATCGGTTTTAGGATTAGGACCACAAAAAGCATTATTATTATTATTATTATTAAAAAAGTAGCCAAAGTTCACTTTTATAAAAATTTATAGATGAATTATTCGAGGTAAAGCTCATATTTTAATTAATTAATTTTTTTATGTTGAATTTATGGTGCTAATTACTATATTTTTTAATATTAAATCAATTTGATATATTAAACAACAACAGGAGTTGCAATTTTATACTAAAAAAAATGCTATTAATTCAGACCTATCAAAGTTGGTTTTGGTTCCGCCCATTGAAAATGTTCATATATGAAAAACTAATTTATTTCAAATACCCATCAAGATGTTAGGTATCCCCACACAAATGTGCTTTTGAAGGAAGAAAAACTAACTAATAGAAGGGGTAGAAGGAAGTAAATGTGTTTGTTTATTTGTTTAATTATTAAGTTATGGGTACTTGATTCAAATATAAATTGCTTCAAAGCATGCATGTCATAATACAAAGAATAATTTATTTAAATTTTTTTAATAAGTGATTGGTTCAATTAATTAAAATTTATTTTTCTTGATAAAAAAGTTTTGAGTTTGAATTTTATTATTGATCGCTTGTTGGGATAATTTTGAATGCATATTCTATAATAATCTATCTTAAATTGTTAGATATGATATATTTTATCTTAATTTAAGGGATTGGGTAACTTATTTATCTCGAATTTTTCTTAAAAAAAAAAAACTTATTTAAACTTTTAGAGCAACTTGAAATTTCAATTTCAATATCTCAAGTTGAATTTGAATCTTAAAATGGGTGCAATGAGAGTTAAGTTCAAATTTTAAACAAGATCTGATAATTAAAAATATGATATGATAATTGAATACCAAAATAATACGAATAAAAGACACAAAAATAACACGATTTAAAATTTTACAAAAATCATAGATATGTTAAATAAAATCAAAAAATTACATTTTTATATTTTCGTGTCAATATTAATTATAATACGTGATTTTTATGTAAAATATAATATAAATATAATATTTTACACGACACAATGACACTAATTACCAAATCTATCTTAAATAAGATAGAATGGAAATTATGCTATAAAAGAAAAATTATAACTCTCTTAAATCACATGTACCAAAAAAGAGAGTTACGAGTTTAAAGTTTAAATTAGAGAATAGAAAATAGAAACCGTTTTGATTAATGAAAAGTTAGGGAAAACAAATATGGTATGCTGAAAACGTGCATATGAAAATAGAATAAAGAAAGACTTAAAAAAAAAAAAGGAGATTTAAAACAAGAGGAAGAAGAGAAAAGTCTAGCTGGGTTGGCCATCCCACTAAATTTGCAAAAGTTAAGACAAAAAAGGCAGTTCTAAAGCAAGAAAAAAATGGAGAGCCAACCATAATTATTGCAGGTTTCAAGAGGGGTGGTGGAAGGTATTAAGTAAAGATTAAGTAAACATAATCAAAGAAAGGGTTGCCCACAAAGGAGGAAAAATATATTTGCCAGAATGCAAGCAAAGCTAAACAGCTGTTTTAAAAAAATGTTGTGATATTAATTTGTTCAATATTTTGCCTAAAAGCATGCTTTTATAGTTTTATTGCAACAACAAGGATGCTTGTTCTTTAGTTTGTTGCAGCTGCAATGCTTTTTTTAAACAAAAAAAAAAGTCATAGTCTAAATATAATAAAGACAATAAAATCAATAAGTAGTTAGTTTAATCGGTTAGATTCATTTTTTCAAATGAATAAATTTTGAGTTCGAGTTTGGTCACTTGTTAAGGTAATCTCGAATCTTGTTTTAGGACTCGTAGGATCATCTCGAATCTGTTATTAGACTGTCAATATAGCATTTTTTTCCTGATTTGAGAGACTGAATAATTTATTTATTTAAAATTTTTCTTACAAAAAAAATTAAAGCTAATAAAAGAGATTATAAATATTGAAATTTAAATTTAAAAATTTGTTTTAGACTGTCAGGTATAGCATATTTTATCTTGATTTGAGGGATTGAATAATTTATCTATCTTTAAATTTTTCTTACAAAAAAAATAAAGCTAATAAAAGAGATTATAAATATTAAAATTTAAATTTAAAAATTTGTTAAATCCTTAAGCCATTGGGGAAAAATCTTTTGGGATTTTTTTTTTTGAAATATTTTTTACGGGGTTATTTTATAAATAAACTTGAGAAAAAAATTAAAGTCCTTTTATGCTATATAGCTTGCATGCTAAGTTGATTTCATTAAGGCTATGGTTTGTGCTTCCCCTTTTAGGGCTTAGGTTCCACGGCTAAGCATACAATAATTTTACAATTAAACTATAAACATAAATGTTAACTTGGGAAGACAAGACAAGGAAGGCTTTCCCGTCTGTGTTATGTTATGTGAGAGAAGACGGGACACAACTGAACCCAATACAAGTTTGAACAAGGCCTAAATCAACCATAAACTAAGCCTATCTCAATTCTCAAAGGGCGAAGCCTGGATATTGGGTTTCCCCCAGCCCACCCCTGATTGAAGCCGAGCGGAAGCCAATCCAATTCCCCAAATGCCTGATTTGGCCGACAACATTGACAACGTGACAACCTTTGCCAATGCCATTCAAACAAACGCAAGGCCGAGGACTAGGCACTGAGTCTAAAGTAACGACAAACAAACAAACAAACAAACAAGCAGAGTCCAAAAACAACTACAATTAGCTTTCCTTTCTCTTCCCTCCATCTCTCGTTGTCTCCGATCAAATATAAATACTTACTTCTAATAGCACTGTACTCTCTTTCTCTCCAAGAATTCCTTTCTTTGATCCCAAAGGAAAGCTTCTTCCGTTAATTGATCGCCATTCCTTTTTCGTAATAAATAAATGGAAGATGCCAAAAGAAAAAGAGGCCGAAAACCCAAAGTCCCTAATCCCTCTGAAGCCCTAGAATCCCCTTCCTCCAACATTGCATTAGACGACGTCTTCTCCGTCAGTAACGTCGAAATCATCCCCTCCACCACCACTTCCACATCCGCCGCCGCAACCACCACCGCTGCCCGCCCTCGTGGCCGCCCCAAAAAACTCCCCAAGCTCCCCGAAAACCCCGAGCCTCTACATCCTCAACTTCCGCCCGCAATCCTCTCCCCTAGCCGCCGCATTCCCAACGGCAACGCCACTGGAGTTGGAGGAGGAGGAGGTGGCGGAGGGGAATTGAGCGGGGATTCGGTCGGAGGTCGGGTGTTGCCGGCAATGGATGCAGTAGTGAAGGTGTTTTGCGTTCATACGGAGCCAAATTTCTCGTTGCCTTGGCAGAGAAAAAGGCAGTATAGTTCAAGTAGTAGTGGGTTCGTGATCGGAGGGAGAAGGGTACTGACGAATGCGCATTCCGTGGAACATTACACTCAGGTTAAAGTTAAGAAACGTGGGTCTGATACTAAGTACTTGGCTACTGTCCTTGCTATTGGAACCGAATGTGATATTGGTATGTTAAGTTCTCACATGAATAAATCGAATTTCTAATAAACGCTGGTAATCAGATACTACTACCAATGTTTTGGCCTAGCATGTTATAATGTCAGCATAAAGGAAATTGAAATTATCACACTATGGTGAAAAACTGAAAATAATACCCTAAGTAAATGATGAATAATAATCATATTCATTATAACTATTGCTAACTAGTATCATTGCCCTACCGTTTCTAATTATTTTGTAATGCTTAAATGAAGATATTGCATATATTCTATATATGAAATGAAAATTTCTAATTACTTGAAGTAGAGAGGGTGGCAAAGATTTCTTCCGCCTATGGAGGCAAAGCACGAAGTTTAAACTATTAAGTAAGCTTCTTGGGGTGTGAGGATTGCTCTCTCTCTGTCTTTCAATCTTTCTTCCCTCCCTCCTTGGTTGTTATTACTATATTTTAGATATTAGGTACTTCAAAGATATTTAAGCAATGATGAGAAGGAAACGTGAATTAAGTTTCATGTTTTGAGAGGTACGAGTTTATTTTTTTTCTAATAGAGTACAAGTATTCTGTGTGGGCATCATATACGAGGCACAGACATAGAAAACTGATCTATGGTTTATGAGAGCTGAATGTAAATTTCTTTGGAGGTGATGCATGGTTAAGGAGAAAGAGGATAGATGAAAAACACTAATATAGTAAGAAAATAGGAGGGGCAAATTCAACTCATTCATAGTGTGAAGTGTGAACTCATGTTCAAGAGAGAGGTGCTTGGACTTCAGTCAGTCTGATGTAAAAAATAATTGAAATTCTGGAGATATCTGCATGGCTTCAGATGATAGCTTTCTTTCTTTATTTGGTGAATATATGCTTTGGTTTATGTGGTGATGTAGCAATGCTTACGGTTAATGACGATGAGTTCTGGGAAGGTGTGTCACCAGTGGAATTTGGAGAATTGCCTGCACTTCAAGATGCTGTGACTGTTGTTGGTTACCCAATTGGGGGAGATACAATCTCTGTGACAAGTGGAGTTGTATCACGAATAGAAATCCTGTCTTATGTTCACGGGTCCACAGAGCTCCTGGGTTTGCAGGTTACATAATTACTTTTCTAGCATTTCTTTTACATGCAATATCTAACCCATTAAAAATTTTCTTCTATTATCTATTATCGACTATTTGCAGATAGATGCTGCTATAAACTCCGGAAATTCTGGTGGGCCTGCCTTCAATGATAAAGGCAGTTGTGTGGGCATCGCATTTCAGTCACTCAAACATGAAGACGTAGAAAATATAGGGTATGTGATACCAACACCTGTTATCCAGCACTTCATCCAAGACTACGAGAAGAATGAAGCATATACTGGTAAATTTAGTTTGAGTTCTGTTAAATAATACTTTTTATCAATCTACTTTAAAGTTATGATTGTGTGATGAAAGTGCTATCTGCTGTGTTTATCATCCTGCTGAACTTCTCATGATCTCTCTGATTGTGCTAGGATTCCCAATTTTGGGGGTTGAGTGGCAGAAAATGGAAAATCCTGATTTGCGAACAGCAATGAGTATGAAACCTGATCAGAAAGGTGTTCGAATCCGAAGAGTTGATCCCACAGCTCCAGAATCTGGGGTTTTGAAGTCATCAGATATTATGCTCAGCTTTGATGGGGTTGATATTGCCAATGATGGAACAGGTAAGGTGTTCTTTATCTATACATAGATACATAATGCACCTGCGCACAGACTTGTGCTGTATGGATACACATATACACTCTGCCATGTTTTTACGGAGTGAAATTTTTATGCACCAACTTCGTAAGTAGTGAAAATCCTTGTTATCATAAGAGTGAACTGTTATTATTACAATGAACTAAACAAGTTTGTGTATGGTCCTCAGAAAGTACTTTATAGTAAGTTTATCATTACTATAAAATGTGTGTTTCTAGGGCTTTATGCAATTACAGGTTAACAATTCAAACCAAAAAGGGTGAGGGTGGAATTGAATAGGGAACTTTTCTGAGGCCTTTAGTTAATCTTTTAAATATGAATTCCTGGATTAACCAATTATGAATTTATGATTAAGAGCCGCTATCTCCACAACTATGAATGAGTCTTGTCAGAACCAGACCGTTGTGGTATCGGGAACCAGTGGCCTATCCGGTCTGGAACATGTTAAAAAACTTATTGACATTAAATAAGTTAAGAACTGGTCAAGCTTCCTGTTAAACCAGGTTTGACCGAATTTTGAATCGGTTTTTTATTTAAATCATTATTTATTGTTTATAAAATTATTGTAAATAGTGGGATTTGAATCCTTACCATCTTTTTGTCTCATTAAAAAACTAGCCATTAAGTCAAATTCATTTATTTGTTATGTATCTGTCATTTAATATATATTCAATAATAGATTATTTATTTAAAGTATAACCAATGCATGTTTTAAACCGGTTAGGCCAGTTGAACTAGACATCTAACTGGTTAGACCTCCAGTTTGGTTATTAAAAAATTGTTATGAACTTTACTAAATGTACTAATGAGAGTTAGTTATGTCAGAAATGTTAATCCATACAGCACTATTAACTTGAAAGATAGCTAAAATTGCTATCAATATTTTTATTAGGACAACTGACAAGTTCAATTCTTCTCTTTTTATCTTCTGTTCAATCCCTTTTGTTCATTTTTTTTCTGATGTTGCATTTGTTTTCCAATCTTGATGTTTTCTCAGTTCCTTTTCGGCATGGAGAACGCATAGGTTTCAGTTACCTTGTGTCACAAAAATATAGTGGAGATAGTTCAGCAATTAAAGTTCTTCGTGATTCTGAGATTCTAAATTTCAACATCAAACTTGCATCGCACAGAAGGCTTATTCCAGCACACAACAAGGGCAGACCTCCTTCATATTATATAATTGCAGGATTTGTGTTTACAATTGTGTCTGTCCCATATTTACGTTCCGAGGTACCTTTTTTTCTTCAAAATCTAGTGCCTCCGTCTGTCACAATAATAAAATAAAGCCTCTGAAGACCTGTTTTGCTAGCTTAGATGCTATAAAGTGAAGATCCTTTATGCATGCTCAAAAAGTAGATAATATTAATCTATTTTTATTTCAATATTGCGCTATATGTATGATTGTTCATGTTCTTTTTTGGAGTGTCAAAAGCCATGAATCCGTATGCATGTTTGACTGAGCATATTTCTGTTGAATTTTGCATTCAAAGTGCACAACACAGGTTCCAGCTGCCTCAGTCGGCTTAGTGAATTCAGCTCTGCTGGTTTACTTTCTTAGTGGATTGAATATTCTCTTAAAACCTGCAATTTTGTTGTTTATGTAGTTTGTAATAGCCTAAATAAACATTTCTAGACCCTTCTTGATGTTGGGGTTGTAGAGAATACTTTGAAAATGAAATTTTCCTCATCATTCTATCTGTGATTTGTGGAAGAACTTCATATTTCCCAATCACCCCCAAATTCTCTGGTGCCTAGGTGGTTGCCAAAGAATTTCATAAATTAATGTTTCTGTTGAAGCTGGATTAGTCTGTGCTGTTAATAAATGCTCAATACTGCAATGTCTTGGGATAGAGGATGTTCTGAATTGGATGAGTTGATTGGGTGTGAGTTAAATGCTATATCATCTTTTTTCATGTTTTTAGGAACTGGAAAAGGACTTTATGCAATGGTTTACCATTTTCTTTTGCCACCTTCTGACTGTATTAGTTTTCCTGTTGTGTGCATCATTAGACTTTTTTTTTTCAAATTATGTAATAGATGGATCAGAAGATGACTGATTGTTAGGATTTCAAGCAAATTTTGGTGTTCCTTATTAAGTCTTTTCTTTTTGTAGTGAGATTTTATATGACTATTTAGTCAAATTGTGTTTTTACTGTTGATCTCATTGTGCTAAATCGGACATGCTTATCACCTATGGTGTTATAAAAATAAGAGCATAAAAATGTAGAACTTCAATTTCTCATCAATTTCTTGACAGTATTGAGTTTTATTTTTCAAAAGTTAGCAATAAAATCAGCAGTTTTAGGTTTTGTTTCCAAATAATCCAGCTGTATTTTGCATATTTATTCAGTATGGGAAGGATTATGAATATGAAGCTCCAGTAAAGCTTTTGGACAAACTCTTGCATTCAATGCCACAATCACCTGATGAACAGCTTGTTGTGGTGTCTCAGGTTCTCTCTCTCTCTCTCTCTTTGTGTGTGTGTGTGTTTGCATGCACATGCATATGCCTACTTATTACAGTGGGCATGTTCTGCTAATCCGTTCTTCTAACATATTTTCTTAAAAATTCTTTTGAAGGTTCTTGTGTCTGATATCAATATAGGATATGAGGACATTGTTAACACTCAGGTTAGGATCATCAGTCCGTTGCAACTATTTTTTATTTCAGGAGTTCAATTTCTTTTATTTGTCGGATACAAATACCTTCTGTGTTTTGTACCTATGCAGGTCCTTGCATTTAATGGTAAGCTTGTGAAGAATTTAAAGAGCTTGGCTGAGATGGTAGAGAACTGTGATGATGAATTTTTGAAATTTGATTTAGAATATGAACAGGTTTTCCTTTTTTCTCTCTCTCTGTCGACATGCATGCACACTCCAACACATGCTCTTGTTGCACTGCTCTTAGATTCATGTGTGTTTTTTAATGTAGATAGTAGTACTTAGGACAAAGACGGCGAAGGCGGCTACTCCAGACATTCTCACTATGCATTGCATACCATCAGCTATGTCGGACGATCTCAAGACATGAAAATGACCGTACCTAATTGATTGATTTGTTGTAGCTTTTCTATGGGTAATTTTTGTTTTTTGCCACATCTAGGAAGCAACGTTATATTTTGCGGAATGGGGCTTGTCAGGTAAGTGTTTATAGCCTTCTTGGTCGGATATCATACTAGGACTGCTAATATGAAACAATGATGTCCCATTTTAAGGCGATTAAAAGCATTTTTGCACTTAGCTATGAATGGGTTTGCCCATCCGCTATTGATTGTCAAACATTTCTTTTTTATTTTCCCTTGTATGAATTTTGTATACATCTTTGAAGCATTTGTTTTGTTTGATCGCTACTATAATGTACATATATATATATATATATATATACATGTGTGTGTATATATATATATATATATATATTTGAGAAATGAAAGCCTAGTCGTGGTTGTATTTTCTCACTACTTAATAATTAGAATTGCCTTGTTGAATGGAAAACATATCTTCAATTGTCCAAAGTCATCAGCCATGCTTGTATCTCCAGCTCTACCACCAGACGCACAAAAAAAAAAAAAAAAAAACTTAATCCTGAAATTTTGGTGGAAACTATAATAACTATAAAGGGTTATTTGATTTGTGGAATTATAGATTTCGAGAGAAAATATGTTTTTGAAAAAGTGTGCTACTCAGGGTTATTTTTTATTTTTAAGATATTTTGTATTCAGATTTATTTATTTGATTAAAAAATTTACGTATATTAATTTTTAAATAATTATCATAAACTTCGTAATATATGACATTAACTTTTCATTGGTTTTTATTAATAATAAATATTCAAATGATAAATAATGATAAAAGAAAACAAATATTTTTATGATTGTTACTTTTATTTATAAAATATTATCAATAAAAAAGTATGGAAGATTATTTAAGATATTATTGATTGAATAACGTTTTAAATAATATTTTTTACTATTTTAAAAGGGATTATTTAAGACAAAAAATGTCTTAAAAATTTTTTTATATATATTTTTTAAAAGTTGATTATTGAAAGTATATTTGACAAAAATATCTTAAATAATTTCTTTTAAAAAATTAAAAAAGATTATTTAATATATTTTTAATCCAAAAACGTCTTAAATAGTTTTTTTGTTTTTTGTTTTAAATCATTCTAGAAAATATGAGGACATTATATAGGGTATTTTTTTTATCCAAAAATACCTTAAATAATATTTTCATATTTTTTAAAAAATATTATTTAAGGTATTTTTTATCCAAAAATATTTAAATAATACCCTTTAAAAAATAAAAAATTATTTAAAGTGTTTTTTCTTTAAAAACACATTAAATAATCTCCTTAAAAAAATAAAAAAATTATTTAAAATGTTTCTATAAAAATATCTTAAATAATCTATTGGTAAAAATATAAAAAATTATGTAAGATATTTTTTATACAAAAATATCTTAAATAATTTTTTTATAAAATATTACTCCTAAACCTTAAATTTTAAAATATAAAAGAATTATATAAAATATTTCTTAATGTCAAACGTCTTAATTGTAATTGAAAAGAAAATTTCTATATAAATTCTAATTACTTCCAAACACATTTTTCAAAAAAATAATGATTATTTTATAATTTTTTATTTAAATTAAATTTAAAAATAAAATAACTTTTTATGCAAAATCCTAAAATATCAAAAGAAGAAATAAATTTATGATTATGACATTTTAAATACTATTAAAAATCTGTCACTTTTTTTCATAATTAGATTACCCTTAATCAAATATTTCAAATTCCTACCATCAAAATTTCAGAAATAAATTTATGAATTTTTTCGAACCGGACGTTACCTAACTGCAATTTTTTCGTAGGAGTGGATATATCGATAATTCACACATTTATAAAGAAGGGCTCAGTTGCTAGCAAATAATAAGAATTCTCATCCTCTTATTCATTAACAAGAAAAAAAGACACTATCATTTATGCATCAAGATGTCCATGTAAGAGAGGGGTGTTTGATGATGACGATGATGATGATGACGACGAGGACGACGACTGTAGCTTATGCATGTTGACGATTTCGTCCTTTTCTTCTTTGGACTGCGCCCATATCACTCCGTAAAAGCCAGTAACAATGATGGCTGCTCCAACAATGCTGCAAAGGACAGGAGGGTTACTATCAAATCAATGTAAGTTTTATAAAGGTAAGGCCCTAAGGTGACCCATGGAATCCTTTTTCGTCTTAAAAACTGAAAGTATGAATGAAGGAAAGTGTTGCTTGCAACTTCTCATTTTGAAGCATTTCAGCATTCACTTCTCAGCCCAGAGTCAGACTTGAGTTCGGTGAAACATTTTTATATAGGGGGCTAGATTGGGTCATGTCACCCTTCTTTTTTTCAAGAAAAAAAAAAATTCTTAAAACTTTTTTATATAAGTATTATTTTAAAAATATTAAAATATTGACTAATGATTCAAACCTCGTTATATTCGTTTTCATTTAAAGAAAAAAAAACTAATATTGATTAATGACTCAAACTTCTCCAAGATATATTATCTAAATACATATATAGGTGGCAAATTTTGATATGATTCGAAAAATCGACTTAACCAGCCTTAAATTGAAACTGACTCTAATACGATAATATATTAAAATTGCCTATCTGAACTTGACTTAACTCGAATTTAAGATAATCAAAACATAAAAGACCTCATATCCAACTTAGCTTGATTTAAGGTAACCTAAAACCCAAAATGACCTGTCATTTATGGTGACCTGAACTCAAATTAATCTGACTCTGAATTACTTTGGAGTTTGGCTTATATTGAGTTGAAGCCTTAATCAATTCAAACCATGCATTCTTATATACCTAAAATTTTTAGTAAATAAATATTTAACACTTATTTGCAAGTTCAATAAACACCCAGACGAAGAATATATGTTGAACATAAATCAAAGAAACATGAAAAAGATTAAAAAATTAAAACTTTATCAACATATAAAAGAAATTATATGAAAAGGGATAGCATAAGCCAAATATATAAGCAATTAATCACCATCATATTAGTTGAATGTTATCATAGTAAAATATTTCTTACTTTTCATTTTTTTACAAATTACAATAGTTTTATTTGAATTTTATCCTAATAATTTGTAATGATTTGATTCTTAAAATAATTCAAACCCGAAATAACCCGATTCAAAACAATTCAGTTTTTGAATGACTTGATATGTGTAGTAACCCAAACTTCACTCAACTTAAAACGAACTAAAACCCAAGTGACCTGATAAATAAAGAAACCCAAATCCGACAAAATCTGATCAAACCTGTGACATGAAATGATTTGAATCCAAAATAACCCAACTCAAAAGTCTAAACCAATCCAACTTACTCTATTGTGATCACTAATTTCATGATTGATGTTCAACTGTAATGGAATTGTCCCTATTGATGAGTTGACAAACTACCTTAAGATTTGAGAATTAAGAAACTAAAGATTTCATTATTTGATCATGAACCTTAATTAAAAAAAATGGAAACATATTCACTTTTTTTTTGTTTGGCATGCACCAATTTTTCTGTTTAATTTTTATGGCTTGCTAAAGGAGAGGAAGAGAAGGCTTTCAAGATTTCTACTCTTAGTCAGCAACCGCTCTAATTTTATATGCTTCAAATTCTTCAAATAAATGATTAAATCAAATAACATATTTGTTTATCCAATGCTATAATAGAAGTAAATGAGCAGTACTTTATTAGCTGATAAAGAGAATGAAAATGTTTGCAAAAATTCAACATTCCCATGTTTTATGTCATATAAAAGAGAAAAAAAAAAAAAAAAACCTAGCTAGCATTTAATATTTTTGACATGAATCAATTGTCCATTTGCCCCATTTGGAGCCAAAGAAATTCCAATGCATTATTAATTTGTGTTTTTGTCATGTATCTCATTGCTAGTATGAATGTAAACAAACCGGTAGGCTACTTGAACATCCGGTCTAAACTAGTTTATGTTCATTTACTAATTTAAATAAACAAATTTGAGCAAAAATTTTCATTTACAAGCTCTTGTAATAAATAATCCAAGTTCAGACAGAAGTGAGTGCCTGCGTCATTTATGTTAACGAACAGCTTGATAACTAAAAAAGTTTGAAAATGATGTAAGGAGTTTGTTACCTTCCAATATATAGCGTTTCTCCAAGGAAAATGAACCCCAAGAAGGCAGCAATAGCAATACTTAAGGGTTTGAACATGGCTACAAAGACTGGCCCTTTCCGTCGTATGCACCATGCTATCACAGCAAACGTTACCACACTTCCAAATAGGGCCTGAAAAGATATTGATCTTAGATGCCAAACTTTGCTGTGCAAGATCGGAAAAGCTAACATATGAATTGCCAGTCAAAAAGAAGTTTTCTTTTGTGCGGTATACTTACCGAGTAGACCACTGAGATGAGTTCAACATCAGGACTCAATTTCCAAGCATTTGGGTTTCTTTCAGCAATCAAGGCAACCAATGTGCATTGAATGCTCCCAAAGAAGCAATAGAAGGACACTAGTGTTATCTCTGAGGGATACCCCTTAAGAATTGCCGCCTTTCAATACAGCAGGGAAGGATATCAATTCAACTCTCACAAAGATTGAACCCAAACCTAGTATAGATCATGAAATAGCATATTACCTGACCAATGATGTTTACTGAAAGGGACAAACAAGCAATGGCAACGAAGAGTCCACCTATGATCCAATTGTTTGTTGTTGCTGTTGTTGTTGTTAACATGGTTGAGGGAGATGGTTGTGAGTGTAGTTGAGATGGTGGGGAAAGTAGTGGAGGACCCTTGTAAATGGTCATAATCAGTGCTCCAGAAATGGATACCAAGGTGCCCAAGATTTTGATCTGACTCCTTGAGCTTCTCAATTCTAGCTTTTCCATCCTAGAAAGTTCAAAAAAACAAATCGATATATATAGCAGGGATCAAAATTAAAACTTCTACCCTAGTCTCTAGGCATGATTGGATCCTTCAATTCAACAAAAAATAGCTGCTTAAAAATCAGAATATTAAATGAAACCTGAAGATAACAGCAAGTAAGAAAGTGAAAGCTGGAATTAAGTTGCCAAGAGCAGAAGCAAGGGTCGGAGAACTGTAGTTTACACCGGTGAATACGCAGTTCTGCATCAAAGTAATCCTGCAAAACCCAGATTCATAACCCAATTCTTTCAAGAAAAAGGAAATCAAACCCACACTTCCTAAGATCAACAAACAGAACTCTGTTAGGTTTAATTGCATACCCAGCAACGCTTAGGAGGAAAAACTTGCATAGCAAAGGTAAAGTAATTGGTGGCCTCTTTTTCCTGCACAAAAAGTCCCAAAAAAAGAAAAAATTAGTATAAGTGCTCAATGATTACTGAGAACATGGATCTAGTTGATAGATGGTGAAGAACCTAGTGCAGAAAAAAGCAGCAGGAAGAAGAATGACAGAAGCCAGAGAATTGGAGTAGACAACAAAGACAAAGTGACTCATCCCTTTGGACATGGCAGCTTTGCTGAGTGTAGTTAAGCCAACATCCAGGCACTCCACAGCCACCATGGCTGCAAATGGCGCCAAGTCAACTAAGCAGGACTTTACTTTCATCTTTCCAACTCTCATTCTTCTCTATCTCTCCAGATTGCTGGAAACTGGGTAACTTAAAGTTGCTGTTAAACTTAACGATCGCCTTTTTTTTTTTTTTTTTTTCAGATGTTAAAATTGTGATTGGGACAAATTTGATAAGACGACTTGACAAAAAGACAAAAATAGTACTAAGCTCGTCACGTGTTGCATCATCTGCCACACAAACATTTGATTTGACTAATAGTTTGTAGGTTTTATTTGAACTAACAAACACCCGCGTCCATGTATTTCATATTTATTTAATTAATTTTTTGTTACAAAATTCATTTAATTTAAAAATAAAAAAGCGAAAACTAAAAAAATAAATAGGATGACAAGAGGTTACTATGATTGGCCTTTATTTTTTTTTATGAAAGTTATTTAATTTAAAAATAATAATAAATAAAAAAATAAAAAAAACTCATAAAGAATGTCCTTGAACTTTCATTAAGTATAAAATATTAATTTTTTAAATCAAGATATCAAATAATCATTTTTTAAATATAATATGTAAAACAAAATTACAAATAAAGCATTTGCTTCTATGTACATTTTCAAATTAGTCAAAACAGAACATCTTGAATAAGTTTCTGCCCCGATCTCTTATTTTTTTTTTAAAAAAAAAGTAATTTGTTTCAACCTAATTTCGATTTAAAAAAATTCACCTTTTATTTAATTGAGATAGATCAAATTTATCAAATAAAAATTATTTTAATAATTTTTTCAATCAATATCATTTTTGTAAAATTGATCTAATAAAAAATACAAAATATAAAATACAAAAAAAAAATTAAATTGAGTTGCAATGTGAATATTTCAATTGGTCTTTTTTTAATTAAATTAATTTAATAAAAATAAAAAATAAAAAAAGAAAAAAATGAATTTATTAAATTAAGGCATTAAATAATGATCTTATTAATATAATACATATATATAATATAAAATAAAGTAAAATAATAAAAATAAAATTATATAAAGAATTTAAAAAAATTAAAAAAACAAAAATAAATCTTGATGTGACAACGAAATTCCATAATATCATTTTTTTCTAAATTAAAATAAAAAATATATTAAATCAATATTATTAAATGAAACTCATTAGAAATTTTAAAATATTTTAAAATTATTAAATACTAAAGATATTTTAAAAAATAAAAAAGGAAAAAAGAAATAAATGACTAGATACGTTATATACACTTGACATCAAGTGGGACATACAAAAAAATTAAATTCATTAAAATATTTATTAAATAGAAAAATTAAAAATAATAGAAAACAAAAAAAAAAATACATGACGTACAATCTTAAAATAAAATACAGTCAATATCAAGTGAGTCCTAAAATTAAAAAAATCTAAAAAATAAAAGAAATTATATTCGAATGTGACATCAATATATTCATTAATATTTTTTTAAAAATAAAATAATAAAATATATTTTAATAGTAATACAAAATGAGTCTTAAAATTTTAAAAAATATTTTAATTTTTTATTAATTAAATAAATGAAAAATTAAAAAAATTAAAAAGCAAAAGAGAAATAAGAATCAAATAACTTGTATGTGAATTACCCTTGAGATCAAATCAATTATAAAAAATGAAATTTAGAAATTTATTTATTAAATATATAATAAAAGAGAAAAAAATTAAAAACAGAAAAAAAAAAAACACGCGTTATACCTTTAATATAAAAAAAGTAAAAATAAAATAAAAATTTTATTGAATCTTATAAAAAAAAGAGAAAAAAATTGATATCAAACTTAGTTCCAAAGAATAAAAGCAAATCTGAAAAAAGTCTAAAAAAAACAAAAAAGAAAAAGGAAAGTTGGCATATATATTAAAACGGAAACAATGTTGTTTTGAGGGGGAGAGACCCGCGTTCTGCACCGCCAAGATCCACACGTCGACCTATGAATACTCTACCCGATTGCAAACCATTTATCTGCTGAATCACTAAGCCATAAAGCTGAGCCACTAAGCTAAACAGCCATGATTTTTCCCAAGTCTTAAGCCAAGTCGAGCTGTATCTTGAAGCCGAGCTAGAAATAATTTTTTTGGTATTTTATTTATTATTTTATGTATTTGTTATTTTTAATAAAAATGTGTTAAAATGAAAAAATAAAAAAAAAATAAATGATATATCCTTACCAATATATTAGAATGTCTTTTATTTGTGAATTTAAAAATGATTTAAAAAAAAAAAACATTGCCAACATGTTGAAAAATTTTAGAACTTAAAAACAATTTTAAAAAATAAAAAACCTTACAATAGAGGGTTTTAAAATTTTAAAAATAATTTTGGACAAAATAAAACTTTACCAACATATTAAAAATTTTGAAGTTTAAAAAATAAAATTAATAAAAAAAACTAATTTGGAAAGATGGATCCTACCAACATATTATAGGGTTTTGAAGTTTAAAAAATGAAATTTAAAAATAATTTTGAAGAATAAAAAAACCTTATCTATATATTAGAAAGTTTTGTGATTTTAAGATCTTAAATAAAAATTTACCAACATATTTAAAAAATTTATTAGTTAAAAAATGATTGAAAAAATAATTTTTATAAATCGTACTAACATATTGGATGATATTTATGGATAAAAATTTTACCAACATATTAAAATATTTTTAAATAATCAAACAATGATGATTTACCTCATGTTTTTTTTATCTCATAAAAATATAATTTTGAAACTCCTGATGATGAAATTACTAAAATGTTGTAAATAGCAATTTTTATGTAAATTTTTAGGTGAATTTTTTCTAAAAAAAATTTTACTAACATATTGAAGAGTCTAAAAAAGTTTTCCAACACCAAAGTTCCATAAAATTTTACAATTTTCATGAAATAAAATCTTTTAAAATCTTAATGAATTCGACGACGAAATCTTTTCAAGTGTAACAAATAATCACTTTAAACACTCTTAAGGTGATAAAATATTCTTAAGTTGTTACCAATATATTGCAATAATATAAGACAATTTTTGATACTTAATTACTGGTAAGATTTTTAAGGCTTGGAATAACACAAATCAACTAGTATCATCCTTTGGATGGGTGCTTTAGGGACTCTAACTTTTCTTATATGTAATTATACTCTCAGACTTTATTTGATTTTGTAAACTAAAATCTACCCTTTTAAAAAACTTGACTTAAGCTCAGAATTTCTCTTAAAAAAAAAGGATAGATTCAGTTAAGTAGTCAATCACACTTAAACAAGAAAAATTGTGACGATTCCTCTATTTGTGTCTAATGAGCAAGTTTGCAAACTTATACATTATGGCAATATTCTTTTGGGAATTTTTAAAAAAAATTCAAATTTGAATTACTACATATATAATGGAAGAAATATGATTTCCAAACCAAGATGACCTTTCTAGGGCAAAGAAAATCATTTTTTTTTATATTACATTTGCATCATTATTTGGATAATGCATTTGCATCATTTGGTGAGCATGAAAATCTTTGTTTAGAATATTGCATTTTCATCATTGTTTGGATCATACATTTAGTGAAAATTCGAATTATTACGTAGATCATGAATTTTGTATCATTTCATGAGAATCTAAATTTATTGATAGGATTATTGGATTTGCATCATTTAGTGGGCAATTGCATTTTTATCATGGCATTCATTACATACGACAAATTTTGATTTTGGATTTTGAAATTAAGATTAATGAAAGATTAAGAATTTTCACGAAGAGAAATTTTGAACTTGTTAATTCTCAGTTGATGAATGTTTTTTAAGATAAGATTTTAATCTTTGAGTGACAAAAATTTTCAAGATAAGGCTTTGATCTTCGTTTAAGAAAAGTTTTCAAAGAATAAGATTTTAATCATTGGTTAAGGAAAGTTTTCAAAGATTGAGATTTTGATCCTCAGTTGAGGAATGTTTTTTAAGATAAGATTTTAATCTTTGAGTGAGAAAAATTTTTCGAAATAAGACTTTGATCTTCGTTTAAGAAAAGTTTTCAAAGAATAAGATTTTAATCATTGGTTACGAAAAGTTTTCAAAGATTGAGATATCGATCCTAAGTTGAGGAATGTTTTTCAAGATAAGATTTTAATCTTTGAGTGAGAAAAATTTTTTGAGATAAAACTTTGATTTCGTTTAAGAAAAGTTTTCAAAGAATAAGATTTTAATCATTGGTTAAGGAAAGTTTTCAAAGAATGAGATTTTAATCCTCAGTTGAGGAAATCTTTTCAAGAAAAAAGCTTTAATCCTTAATTGAGAAAAATTTTTCAAAGATAAGATTTTAGCCTTCGAATGAGGGAAACATTTCAAGTAAAAAGCTTTAAATTTATTTAAAGTTGTTTACCTTTGTTTAAATGAACATTTTTCAAAATAATAACAATATTTATAAGATCTTTGAGTATAATCTTTAAAACTTTTGGTTGTTACTTTTAAGATTGCATTTTCAGACTTGAGCTTAGTCCAATTTGTTTCATTCTTAGACTTTGGCTTAATCCAAGTTGTTTCATTTTCAGATTTTAGCTCAGTCAAAGTCATTTCATTCATAGACTTTGGCTTAATCCAAGTCATTTATTTCGGCTAAATCAAAGCCGTTTCATCCTTAGAATTCGATTCAATCCAAGTTATTTCATTTTTTGACTTTGATTCAGCCCAAGTCATTTGAATTTCAGACTTTAATTTAGTTCAGAACAATGTATTTTCAAACTTCAACTCAATCCAGGTCAATTTATTTTAGACTTCAGTTCAATCTAAATCATTGTATTTTTAAACTTCGATTCAGTCTAGGTCATTTCATTTTTAGAATTGGGTTCAAACTAGGTAATCGTACTTTTAAACTTCGGCTTAGTCCAAGTCATATCTTTTTTTAATTCGGTTCAATCTAAGTCATTACATATTTTGCAACTTTTGGTACATTCCAGGTCATTTCATTTCCAAACTTCAATTCGATCCAAGTCATTTCAGTTTTGGCTTCGACTTAGTCTAAGTCAGAATTTTAACCTTTTAAAAATTTAAAGTTGTTGAGTCTCTTTTTAAATGAGCCATTAAATTTTAAAATTATTGAATCTCTATTTAAAGGA